AGTATAAAACCAACTTAATATAAAAACACGTTTCCATATTCGTAAAATATACGTATAGCTAAATTATGAAATGAAATTAGTAGAACTTTCAGGATTGTTTGTGTATTCTTGCTTAGACATCTAGTGTTAATAAGAGATTAGATAAAAACTGAATAGTGCTTTATGAATAAATATAACCATTATCACTAAATCCCATACATAAAATAACCGTTGGTCTTCCACAACATAGGTGTAATACGACAATCATTCCCCCTATAACACACAAAAACTAACACAACAATTTACTGTGGACAACGCCAGTTACTTTTAAGAAAAATATTTATTGAATTGATAAACCTTGGCTGATACTGTATAGTATAACCCATAATATTGGCCGTTGATATATAACAAAACTAGTAACCACTGGCCGTTACAATATAATATAACTAATAATCCATGGCTGTTAAAGTATAATATAAGCAATATTCCTTCGCTATTAAGGTGTAATATTACCAATAATTCTTGGTCGTTAAGGTAAAATATAACCAATAATCCTTGGCTGTTAAGGTAAAATATAACCAATAATCCTTGGCTGTTAAGGTAAAATATAACCAATAATCCTTGGCTGTTAGCCTATATAATCATTTTCTGTTAAGGTGTAATATAACCAATAATCCTAGACTGTCAAGGTATGATATAAACAATAATCCTTTATTCTTAAAGTATAATATAACCAATAATCCTTAGCCGATAAGGTATAATGTAACCTATAATAATTGGTTATTAAAGTATAACATAAACAATAATTATTGGCTGTTAACGTATAACGTAAACAATAATCATTGGCTGTTAAGATGTAATATAATCAATTATCACTAGCCATTACAATATAAGATAACTAATAATCCTTCGCCGTTAAAATCTAACATAAACAATAATCATTGGCTGTTAGGGTGTAATATAACTAATAATCCTTGACCATTAAGGTATAATGTAACCAATAATCCTTGGCTGTTAAGGTATAATATTATCAATATTGATTGATTTTTAGTGTGTAATATCATCACTAATCATTGGTTTTTAATGTGTGACATAACCAATAATCTCTGGCTGTTACAATATTAATTATTAGTTACAATATGATATAACTAATAATCCTTTTCATAAAGGTATCATATGATCAATAATCATTGGCTGTGTATGTGTAACATAACCAATAATTCTTGGCCGAAAAAGTATTGTATAACCAATATTTTTTTACTGTTAAAGTGTAACATTATCAATAATCTTTTACTGTTAAGGTATAACATTATCAATAATCCTTTACTGTTAAAGTATAACATTATCAATAATCCTTTACTGTTAAAGTATAACATTATCAATAATCCTTTACTGTTAAAGTATAACATTATCAATAATCATTGGCTATTAATGTGTAATATAACCAATAATCCTTGACCATTAAGGTATAATATAACCAATAATCCTTGACCGTTAAGGTATAATATAACCAAAAATCCTTGACCGTTAAGGTATAATATAACCAATAATCCTTGACCGTTAAGGTATAATATAACCAATAATCCTTGACCGTTAAGGTATAATATAACCAATAATCCTTTGCTATTAGGATATTGATACTGCTTTGCCTCTTAAGGTATAACATCACCAATAATCCTTGGCTGTTAAGGTATAATAAAACCAATAATTTTTTACTGTTAGAGTATAGCATAATCAATAATCCTTGGCCGTTAATTAAGGTATATTACAACAAAAGGCTTTAAGCGATTACAATATAGTACAACTGATAATTCTTGGCTTTTAATTAAGGTATATTACAACAAAAGGCTTTAAGCGATTACAATATAGTACAACTGATAATTCTTGGCTTTTAATTAAGGTATATTACAACAAAAGGCTTTAAGCGATTACAATATAGTACAACTGATAATTCTTGGCTGTTAAGGTATGATATAACCAATAATCCTTGGCCGTAACGATATAATATAACCAATAATGCTTGACTCTTAAAGAATAATATAGTCAATAATCATTGGCTGTTAAGATGTTATATAACCAATTATCACTGGCCGTTGCCATTTATTATAACTAATAATCCTTGGCCGTTAAGGTATAATAACATCAATAACACAGGCCTGCGAATTTAAACTTCATAAAAGTTGTTTTGCTTTTAATAACGGATTTTCCATAATTTAGTTACGCAGGTTTCGAAACTAATAATCTTTTTTTTTTTCTGTCACGTAAGGATTTTTTACAAATCGGGAAAAAACTGTTACTTAGATCAGATTATTATTTCGTTTATAACAATGAACATTTTTATTATTATGTTTGTTAACAAAAATACAAACAAGCTGAAGAAAAGAGAAGAACATTGATGTCAAACGAATATGCACCCTCATTCTTCCTGATCTTTTTTTGTTGTTGTTTTTGTGAAATCTATGAATTTTTGTCTCAAATTTACGTGTCGTGGTCTTTGTTTTATGTATTGCGTCTGGAGCATCTCGTTTCAATGACCGTCAGTAATCAGCCATCATGCTGATGTTCCACCTTCCTTGATACCTCCTTTCCATTTCTCTGATATCTTTGTGAAATCTTTCTCCTTGTTGTTCGCTGACGGCACCGAGATTTTCAGTGAAACAGTCAATATGTGAGTGTAAGAAATGAACTTTTAAGCTCATATTACAACCCAACTCTTTGAATTTATCGAACATGCTATGACAATATTTTCGTAATTTGGGTCTTTGTTGTTTCCTAAAAATTTGTCAATAACATATTTAAAGGCAAGCCACGCTTCTTTTTCAACTTTCCTCGTTGTCCTTTCGAACTGTTCATCCAAAGTCAATTTCCTAATCTGAGACCCAACAAAAATCCCTTCTTTAAGTTTCTTTCTGAAAGAGCTGGGAATAGCCATCTTTCTCTAAGGTCTTTACAAACTGCTTCATGAAGCCCAGTTTTATGTGAAGTGGAGGGAATAGGAAGTAAATGTTTGTGTCAACCAAACTTTCACATTCAATGTTTTCTATCCTGGTATCAGGCTGACTCTGCGTGACCATTGCTTATTTATTCAGTGCTGATTTCGTGCTCTGCTGTCTCATTCTCACAAAAAACATGGAAACTTTGTATAACATAGGTTGTTGACCCAACAACATACAAAGGATTTTTAAGTCTCCACAAAGTAACCAACCACGTTCTTTGTATGTGATCTTATTTGATTATTGGCTGCTAGGATGTAATATAACCAATAATTCTTGGCCGCCAGAATATAGTATAATTAATGATATGTTGTAATCAATAATCCTTGGCCGTTGAAGTATAATATAGCCAATAATCAATGGCTTTTAATGTATACTATAACCAATAATTCTTAGTCGTTAAGGTGTAATATGACCAATAATCCTTGTGAGTGCAGTTATAATATAACGCTAATTTTGAATATAAAGATTTAATATAACAGGCATTATTTAGGTGTTACAACTAAAGATATAACATATGAGTTAAAACCATGAACTTGAAGCTGGAAACCTGGTGCTTTGTTAAAATATTACATAAATATCCCACTGACCTCAAAACAGAGCTCTAAGCTAACTTGAAAAATATTGTACTGCGTCTCTGAACGTCTATTAATGGTATGATATATTATCCGAAAATAAAGTGTAATTTTTTTATGTATGTCGAAGAACCGCAAGGATGTGTTTTTTGCACAGTAACGTAAAAGTATTTAGCTCTTACGTTATATTTATTTCTTTTGTTAACTAATGAAATGGGAAGTAATCATTACAAGTGGAAAGTAAACGGCATGGTATGAATATTTACATGACTAACTACACCCGAAAATGTTCCAACTGTTTAAAATATCAGTACATTTATTAGAAGATAAAACAAACGCTAACCTTCTGGGAAATGATAAACAATTTTGCAAGAAAAACACTTGATGAGAACATAACTCTTAAAGGGGAAACATGAAAAATTTTAAGTTAAACATTGTTATACCTTTGATATTACCTCAGATTACAAATTTCTCGTGTTGTTAGGATATATATATATATATATTATAATAATATAGTAATATTTAAAATTAAAAACTTTTCGATTTCAGAGAGAAAGCACAACCACGCTTTAATACCTATATTTCTACTTAATGAAGATGTGAATCAAGATATTAAAATGATATTATTATTATTATTATTCTACAGTTGAAGTTAAATTTAATTTTCTAACAACTATGTCAAGCAATATGCTACAGTCATCAGTTCCTAAAATGAAATAATCTACCATTTTACAAAAGAAGTTTTTTCATAGAAGACCTATCCATATGTCAGTAAATGATTAGGCATCTTTAGTATCTGAAGCACAGTAATCGAATACCTGTATTTAAGTACTCTATTTATCAAATCTACGGTTTTAAAGATTTATTATAAAGATTAACCATTCTTTGATTCACCTGTAACAGCATGCACGTGTGACTTAAGTATTTTAAATATTTTCACTTGTTTAAATATAAATTTAAAGATCAACTTAGGATTACAGATATTAAAACTGGTACCATAGTATTTGAGGCCAAACTCTTGTGATCATGCTAATTAGTTTTTGAAGTAGTTTTAGTGGTGATATTTCCGTACATTTTTGATTCGTACGCCTTTTCACATTCAAAAACATGTTAAAATTTTTTTAACGTGTATAGACATGTTAGCTTACTTTAAGTTAACAGAGTATATGAGAGCTGCAGTTTCTTGACGTATCAGCTCTCACCACCTTATCTATATCAGTGTTAAATAATGTTATCCTATGACGCTTTATTTCTCTCTAGTTGTGAAAATTAATTTCATGTCGTTTTTGTTTACACATACAGCTTTATACTCCTTCATTTTGAAATTATGATGATATCCAGCTCTCCAGTTTCATTTACTGCTCAACTTTTCTTTTGTCTTTCAGTAGATATATTAGCTCACATTAGATCAGACAATCCATATCTGGTCATGTTGTTGGTTTTATTATTGTAGGTTTCGTGGATCAGACGACGCGATTTCCACGTGTTAACCGTTGGGAAAACAACTTATACAGCGGAAGGAAGGTTTGAAGCTGTGCACCTAGCGCACACTGATGATTGGATCCTGAAGATTACATTAGTTGAGCTTGCAGATTGTGGAGATTATGAATGCCAGGTCAACACACATCCCTTGATGAGTTATTTTGTTAATTTGACAGTCCTTGGTAAGTTCAACGTTCATTTGTAATCTATTACGTGATACAATATTTGAATAAAAAACAACAACAGTGAAATTAAGTAGTGAAGCAGGAGTACGTTCCATATTGGATATATCTCCGTTCAGAATTATAGTGCTTACATTTTTTACTGAATAATAGCCTAAATAACATATAAAAAACTTAGTAGATATAGTCGATATTTTTTCAGTCCTTTAACAAAAGGGATTTGTATTAGAAATGAAATGGTCATGGCCACGAGGATGTAATTTATCTGACAATACAATGATTTTCGTTGATGCAAATTTGAACTCAATGCAAATACATGTTATGTAATTAAAAAAGTGTAACTTTGTTCTGGATCTCTAAGATATATTATCCCTACTACTAGACGGCTTGCTTTATAGATACAGAAATAAACTGTCATTTCCAGTACCTATTGTTTATTTTTGCAAAATAATTAGATTAAGTAGATAAACATATTCAAAATAAATATGATAAGTATTTTTATATGGACAGCAATATTTGTTAATAATGAATAATTAATATTTGCTTCTTTCAGCGTAAAGTGTTAGTACAAATCAAAGTTCCTTCTTTGCTTGTTTCTCTTTGACTGTGTATGATGTAATGTAGAGTCACTCTAATTAATTACTTTAGTTTTCACTTTTAATTTACAGAATTATGTAAATTATGAAAAAATAATAAAAAATAAATACAATGATTTTTTTTCAAAAAGTAAAAACAGTGAATGACTTCATAAGATATAAGCTGAATATTAGAAAGCATATAATACATTATACAGCTTAAATAAAGCCGATTTCAGTACAACGAAAAATAAATGTAAGTAATAATGTAAAGATATTGAAAAATATTATCTCGCTTAGATTTAAGTGTATAAAACTAAAAACAAACGTATTTACTTTTAACGGTATAACACTGTTTACCATATTAACTTATGATGGTTGTAAAAAACTTCGTGGTTTAATGAAGCCAAAAGTCATAAGAATATATTCACACTGGACATAAAATTATATCCTCGCTGAAACGTATATCTTTTATTAGAAAATTAAATTAGATTAACAGTTTCATTTTGCAGTGACGAAAATTATCAAAGCACAATAGTAAATATGTGTAATTAGAAAATAATAATAAAATATATAAACTTAGATACTTTGAGAGCTGTTCGTAAACTTACAATATTCAGATGCATAGGTTTCTTCCTTTAAAAACGAACATAATAATCATTAATATATCGAAATTCTCAGCAGTGAAAACTCAGCTATATGAAGATAAAAAAATGCCGTCTGATTTTTCTATATTTGGTTTGCAAGTTATTCATTATTTTATATTTTATAAGTATAAAAATTAGATATTATATGATACATTGAACAAAAGTAAAAATATTTCCATCCTTTTCTCTAGGAAATAGCTGTTTAGATTCGTACTCCAAATATTCTTGTCTCACTATTAGGATAGACATTGAAATAGGCATTATTATGACGCTACTATGTTACTATGTATTTCTATCAACAATAATATAATAAAGATATACATGCTAGTTATGAGATATTATATTTTGTTGTGAATTTCACGCAAAGCTACACGAAGAATGTCTGCGCTAGTCGTCCCTAATTTACTAGTGAAAGACTAGAGGGAAGTTAGGTAGTTATCACCACCCACCGCCAATTTTGGGCTACTCTTTTACCAACGAATAGTAGGATTGACAGTCACATAATAACGCCCACGCGGCTGAAAGGGCGAGCATGTTTGGTGGGACGGGGATTCAAACTCACAACCCGCAGATTGCGAGTCGAGCTCCCTAACCACCTAGCCATGCCTGACCTCATTTTTGAAATACAAAAAAAGCAAACAAAACACTTATAAATTAAAATAATAACTATGAAGAATGTGTTTTGTTCATACAAAATGGAAATTGTGATGCATTTAAGTCTTAAGCAGCAACCTCTAAAATTATTAATAACTTTGATGACATTATTGAAGCTTTGGTTTAAAATGTTTTATGTCTTAACTCACTATTCACAATTTCAACAAACTTGAAAAAATAATAATAACTTTGATGACATTATTGAAGCTTTGGTTTAAAATGTTTTATGTCTTAACTCACTATTCACAATTTCAACAAACTTGAAAAAACAAGTGTTTACGGTTAGCAAAACTATATAATTTCACAAATATCTATTGAACTGTATGATGAAAGTTAGCTTTTAATATTGTTCAAGGGAAGAGGAAATGAAAGTAATGAATAACGAAATTATCAGCTTCTACAAGTCTTAAGATATTATACAACAGGCGAACAAATCTACTACCATCATGCGCATATTTTAAACTGTAAGAAAAGAAACAAATCTCTTCCATTTATAACTTTGAAACAGCTAACTGATAAATTCATGGATGCAGTTATCGGAAAATACACTACACATAATTTATAACCCTATTTACAAACTTCATATTTTTCGTAATTAGTTACTTTTTTGATTCATTAATGATGTGTATCAAATGAATACTACGAAAGCACGTGATCTTTCTGCGATCTACAATTTTTCATTCGCCGTTTCGAATTTACAATATTTTCTTACCGGGTAAATGATTTTAAGGCATTGTTTGATTATAAATCTATAAAGAAAATATTTACGTGTATTTTGTTTGTTTGTTGTTAAGCATAAATCTACATAATGGGCGGTCTGTGGTCTGCCAACCTTCGGATATCGAAACCTTATTTTTAGCGTTATAATCCCTCAGACTTAGCGCTGAGCCATCAGGGCCAGAATATGTGTTAAACTTAAAAGTATGCTTTCTTTGAATATAAAAAGAAAAATTCCTGTCTTTGAACTCAACTCTAGCATATTTTCAGTTAAATTTTAACGCTTTAGATTTCACTAATTGTTTATAAACAGATAAAAGGAAGTAAAGATTATCATATTAAATAACACCAAATTTGTATTGATTTCATTAATTAAAATCATTAGGTAGAAGCTTTTTAATGAACATAAATATAAAAATATTAAAATAGTAATTGCAGTTCTCATTAATTGCTGCAATAAACATAAAAGCATAAACAATTAAAAATATGTTTAGCTAGCAATAATAGACACAATACAAATATTGAAACAGGTAATAAGTGAATATCAGAGCTTTCAAGGAAGAGATGAGAAAAGTGTGAATCTCATACAGTTTACATATCTCATAATTTTGTTTGTTCATAATCGAACACATTTATTTATTTTGCCTGGATAGCATGGTACGTTATTTTTTACGACATTTGCAATACTCTTCTAAGCCTATATAGGTTTATTTCGGAAGGTAAAATTAGTTCACAGTGGTAAGAATAATGAGGATTAATCGCACTTTATAAGTGTCATGTTACATGCTGCGTGCTAACGTTGGACCTACTCCTTTCATCGTCAATAGTACTCAGTCTGATTACCATGACTGCTCACTACTACGCGACATCGCTATTTCAATTGTAACAAGCTTCTAAGAAAGACAAAAGGTCGCATTTCTTGATAAACTTTTCATAGACACTCCACTGCGCATGGGAGTTAGCCTTCAAGAGCATTTTTAAGAAGACAAAAGTCACAAAATTTCATTATACAACGTCGACTTGGCAAATATACGGTCGAATGAGACTGCTATCGTTCTCATGTAAACAGCCAATAATTGTGAAATGTTGCTGGAATGAATCTTTTTGAATCTTTTCAACTTCAAATTCAGCTTTAGCGACACGTCACTACATTAACAGATGTAAGTAATTCTTATAAAGTGCAATTAACTATGTATGTGTTTATCAAGTGCAATTAACTCTATGTATGTGTTTATACTTTGTGATTGCAGCTCCTTTCTTGATTTGCACAAAAATCTTTATGCTATTTTAATTAGCCAGTAGTGAAACTGAAAAACTCAAATCAATAAGATTTCTGTGGATCACATTTTCAGTCCCTCAAGCAGCTATCCTGGGAGAACGAGACTTGCTTGTAAGCAGTGGAAGTTACATCAACCTTACCTGCATAATTAGACAGAGCCCTTCGCCGCCAATGTTTGTCTTCTGGTATCACAACGACCGCATGATAAATTACGACTCATCTCGTGGTGAGATCACGCTACAAAAGGCAAGTGAAGATGCAGCAATGAGCATTCTTTATATTAAGAATGCCAAAGCCTTGGACTCAGGAAATTATACATGTGGCCCTTCCAACGCTGATGCCACGAGCGTTATGGTACATGTAGTCAACGGTATGTTTTTATCTGGAAAAGTTGATTAAAGCAATTATTCTCAAAAGTTCACTTCATTATCTTGCACAGCAAACTGTGATGTAACACGCTTCATAAATAAACACAGGAAACAACTGTTTCATACTGATAATATCATTATTAAACTGTTTTCGGAACTCAAACGCTATTTGGTTATAGTTCGGTATAATCGTATTTATTCATTAATTACAGGCTTATTCTAATAAAATATCATTTTATATGTGGTTTCAATTATATGATAAAGTATATGTTGTTTAAAAGTTTTCTAGTTATTTTTAGATTAAGTAATGACGGGACCTGTTACCATCAAATCGAAAAGTCGCTTCCAAATAAGCTCGCTGACATGGCGAAATATCAGGCTTATGTAAAACATTTGCTATAGTATTGGGACTTTTATTACTCTAGCTTTATAGTTCACTTCTATTTTTACTTCTTAATGATTTCATTTTTCCCGGTAAAATCAATTCCAATCACAATGACATAGAAAAGCATTATTTATTATGTAATTAAAACAAAGTATTTAATACGCACTGTAAGGTATCAATTTTGCACCTGTAAAAATCATAATGAATTACCTGTTATTTATACATGTAGTCCCTTATATTTCTATATCAGATGGAAAAACGGGTAAGCTTCAAAAACTATGAGCGAATCTTTATGATGTTTAGTATGTTTAGTAAGGAAACATCTATTCTCATGAATCAATGAAACTTTAACTTTCAAAAGTAAGTGCAAATTAAATTATATTACGTTGTTCATGTGATTTAAAGAAAAACTACTCTGATCTAAAATGTACCCAAGACTCTCAGGTAAGGAAATATAGAATGATTTAATTGGAGAAAAGTTAATGCAGCAAATGCCTTTTTTTCTATCAACTCCAGGAGAAAAACCGGCAGCAATGCAGCATGATGCAGACACAACATCAGCTACTACTGGTTTCAACAGTGGCTTTTCTTTCTTTTTTTCCATCAGCGCTACTTTGCTTACTGTATTTTGTTCTTCTTGACCTCCCTCTCTCTCTGTGTTATCACATTCCACAGTATTTGTTCCGTCCAAGAAAGAAGTGTGTGAAAGTGAGTCGTAACTTTGTTGTGGTATGACGGTTCAATTATGTGTCAATATGAATTTTAAAAAGATATTTAATGACAAGGGAAGAAAATTCACGAACAGATACAAAGATTCGTGAGAGTGTGCCACCCAATTTATTTGTTATTGCCTTCTCACTGTAACATAACTGTTCTTCAGTATATTTGTGTCAGTTACATGAATAACAAACAGCAAAATGAAATATAAATATAATTCAAGAAATTTATTTATACAACAATATAAGTAGCTTAAAATCATAAAATAAAGTAATATTCAAAACCATTTTAATATTTGATGGAAACGTGATTTGTTATTCTGATAGAATATCATTTATTTATTAATTCTAAAAGAGTTGAGTGTAAAATGTATAGAATGAAGAATCGTAAAAATGTCATTTTATTGTATGTTCTTAAACGTTAAATTTAGTTCATTTTTATTTTATTTTTACAGAATTGAACCACCATTTCTTGTTACTTTGAACATTTTCATTAACAGCAGAAAAGCAAACACCGATAAAAATACTCTTTAAAATAACTAATATTTACATTTATAGCAATGTTTAGAATACTGTCCTGAAATGTAGTCACGCAGTTCTAAGTTTGAAGTACTTTTATTAGCACGGTTTTAAAGTTTTGCACTTTGAAAATTTCCTACGTTGATCGAATTTAAACCGTTACTCTTATAACGTACCTATGGCCCTAAAGTAGGGAACGCGATTTTGTTTTTGTTTTAGTGTATGTGTAACAACTGAACGGGATCTGATACGCTTATCTCTATGCCAATCTAGGCCCAACTCAATGTGAAGAACTGATAAGAAAAATTGGGTGAAAATCGCTTATTTCCTGTGTAAAATACATAATGAACCTCAGCAGCGATCAGTAAGATTAGAAGCAATATTGGTGGTGTTTTTCTTTAAATATTTTGTGTGATTGATACGGAAACCTATATCAAACAATTGGTTTGATTTTATTAACGCAAATCTACACAATCTGCACTGTGTCCGCCGAATTTTAGAACTTCGAGCTTACTGCTAGCTTACACATGAACATTTCCAACACAATCGCGGATCCACAAGCAATTTCTTGCATAAATAATTAAGAAACATTTGCTTAAAAATACAATAGAGTCCCTGGCACTCTCGGCAATTCTAGAGTTAAACATATTTTCGTATGTAAACATTTACACTTTCTTTAACAACTTATACAGCCCAATAATCTCTGTATACACTGTTCTTGATCTTTCAATACTTTTAGAGTACTACTTTTATAGATAATAATAAAGATAATTAACACTTTTAGGTTGCCCTAAGCGAGCAAAAACATAGCGTTTAATCAGAATATCTTTTTTTTACAAAACGCGCTGTTTTTCCCAAAAGTACTTGACATTTGATTAGTGTAGCGAATGTAGCGAACAGAATAAACAAAATAACGCTGTATAACAAAATCCATTATTGTATCTTTTCTAATTTAATATATCTAATTAAATTATTTTTCGGATAATAGTAGATGAATAATAATTTAGCAACTTTTTTAACACGCATTAGTGTGCTGAGGTATGATATATTTCCTTATTTGCTGATTACACGATTTTATAATGATAGTCACACCTCTGCGAAAGAGCTAAAAGTATTGGAGCCATGTAAGCTTGGATTCCTCTTCAATGTTTCTTAAATATTCAATTCAGCTATTCAGTGGCATTAGAGATAAATCATGATCGTAATTCGTTAAAAATATATGCTCTTGCCTTAGATGTTTTTAAATTGTATTGAAAGTACAGCATAGACTTGTTAGATGAAAGAGATGATGTAATTAATGACGTCAAATGTGGATGATCTTTAATGCAGGTTAAAAGTTTTATATCCTCTGTCATAATTCACGCTGGCATCTTCAAATCCCGAGATACTGTTCCACTTACTACGTCTGTACAGCAGAAAATACTTATTGGCAGGTAGGTAATTAATTATACGGTAAATTGAAGTGCACTTGACAACGTCACCTTACTTCAGTTTCAGTTTGTACAACATTCTAATGAAATCAGAAACAATAAACTCAATTAATATTAGCTCTTACGAGATTCGGTATAGACTTTTGTATTAATCGTAAACAACAGTCATTTGAAATAGATTGCGAATAAATAAGTAGAAAAATGCGAAGGTGATAAAATAAAGGAATTAGACTTTTGGAGTTAAATCACCATAGAAAAACTATGTTTCTTTCTAAAACGTTCCTGTTATTAACCGACAGGCTTGTCTTGAAAAAAGAGTGTTTGTTCGAAATTTTGACGAGAACATAAAATACAAACATAGTTTTTTAAGATCATTTAAAATAGACATGTTTGTTTTTCTATAAACGTACTGCATATTTTTGATTTCGCTGTTAATTTTTAAAATCTATTTTAGAAGTCCAAAAATCTCAGTGGAGGTCAGTCAGTATTGTCTTGTTTTTTTAGAAGCTATCCAATGCATATTCTTTTGTTAGTATTTGTATAGTATTTTACATTAGTACCTACCTTGCATACAAGTGATATAACTTGATTTAGAGCAAAAAATACAAAGACATCCATTAAAAAAAAGGATAAATTTTTGGCTTGAATAAGTACATATATCTCAGCTTGATAGTCATGCAACTACATAAGTTTAAAATATTTAATTTGAATACTATATGCTTTCAGTGTTAGTTAGAATAAAACTTATTTATTTTCATACAGTTATTTTTATTCTTTCAGTTGATCCAGATTCTATGTATATGTATTGTTTAATATTTCTTGAATGATAACGTATTTTATTTCATGGGACAAAGTTTTGTGTATATTTATAGATCGTAAGCAGGACACAATTGCCTTTGGTTGCCTAGAAGCTTACAACATTCATTCTGGCGTGATGTTCTGTAGCGAGGATTACCTGCCTCATTTTACATAATATTCCCATATGATTACTATTCTGCCTGGTTACTTTAATGTGCTATCTATCTATATGAGTAGATATCCTTTGGTTTTATGTAACAGTATTCCGTTTCTTATGTGTGACATTATTTTCAAGTTATTTAACAGTTTGTTACAACTATACAACTAAATATTTCATTATATATTCAATAACAGAAAAAGCTATGATATTTTGATATCAAGTGTATTTTCATTTTGAAATATATGTTTTTAGTGAGTTATTTATCTTGTCCATATTTTGTGTTTATAATTTTCGAGCGTTCAAATGAATACATTTTAAGACTTATGAGAATAAAATAGGCAGTCTATTTAGGTATTGTTTTCGAATTAGTTATGCTCTTAAAGTTCAATGACTGGTTTCTATACTATTTGAAAGTTTCATCTAAACGTTCAGTAACCATGGTTATTTGATTTTCCACTTTGAATGAAGAGTTGTGAGATATTAAAACCTCAACAATTAAACAAAATTTTGCATTTAAAACTAAGCAAAATTTAAAAATATACTCAATTAATTTAGAATAAGCTGAGAAATGTTACTCTTCTTAAACATATCTGACAACCTAGAGAGCATTTAAAAGTTTAAGAAATCGCTATAAATTGTAATGCTCAAAGAAGGGAATCTGAATTCATCACAAACTTATCGCACGTAATGATGCAGAAGTTAACAGGAAAATATAACAAGTAAACAAAGTAGTAATAGACGGTCATATCGCTGAACGACGAAGACTTGTCACATACATATTATAATTACAAAGGCTATTTTCACAAATATATATGGTATAACACCTTTCCGCATTTTGGAAATGCCCATTGCAAATTCATACAAACTTTACCATCAGATTCATATATATATATTCTAGTATTAACTTACGAAAACACGATTGTTAAAAATATTCCATTCATAACGAATATTGAATGTTTGTATTAGCACGTGAATATATAGGATGACGAATGTCTTCAATATAACCCATCACTGTTATAATACTGATAACTGATAGTAGACTAGCGTAGTCCAAAGCAATGAAATAAATTATATATATAAATGTAGATGAAAACTTTTGGTTTTGTTTAATTAGTTAAGAGTTTATAAACACAATTTAGGCTTAAGAGGTACGTTTGACTAGCCCCTAACAAATGTTTACCGGATGTCACTTACTGTTATCATCTCTTTCCATTTGATGGTTTATTGACTGTATTTGTTTTGTAATTACAGCGTTATCAGCTACGAAAAGGTTTCTGGATGATATGAAGGCCTAAAGATTGACTTAGCGTAACATTCAAGTCCATCAATCTTGACATATAAAGTCCACGTGGTACATTCAACTGCATTCACTTATAAAGCATAATGGAACTTAATGACATTTGAATGAATATATAAACTATTATATACTATATGATGGACATAAGAAATCATAAAACTCCAGCTGAAGACCTGTTTAAACATGTTCATTTCAAGACAAAGTTTGATTTTAAGCACTTGGCAAGTTTTCGAAAAGTCTATAAAACTTTCAAGTGTTATTTGTCTCTTAAAATATTTCAATTTACCTTTCATTCGTATGTCTTATTTCCATATTATATGTAACAGAGTACTTTGCTTCTGGATCAACTTTTATTGTTGTCTCTCAATAAATTATTATTTTGATATCTTGTATTATTATTTTGTCCCCCGGTAGGACAGTGGTGCGTCTACGGATTTGCAACGTTTAGTTCATTGTCACAGCAGATAGCCCGATGCGGCTTTGCTATAAGAATAAAAAACACACGCACACATATTATTTTATTAATCCTTTTCTTGTCATCTGCTTGCGTTTTTGTTTATTTCTTATCTTAAGTATGTTACTATCAATCAATTTTAAAAGCTAACAACTTTACTTGATACTAAAAAACATTGTGTCCATAATAGATTAAAGTAAAATGTATCATTTCTATCTATCAATTAATCGTATTCATTTCCTCGAATGCTAAACTTAATGAAAATACCACAAATTAAGAACCTATGTTTATATTTATTAATGATCTGTTCGCGGGTATCTTTTTTCAATCGCCTAATATAATAATAAAATTTTAGATTATTCAAGTGAGCTTTACAAAATTATGATGGACTATCTAGAACGTCCAAATAAGTGTGGAATAAAATTTTCAATACAATTCTTATATGCAAATTATTATGATATTTTTCATTTTAAACCTTTTTACAAAACCAAGACTTTTAAACTATGAAAAACATGAAAATAATACTACTAAACCCCTTTCAAGTAAAACACAATATTCCACATTATCATCAGTTAAACCTGCAATGCACGTTAGATCCAGAATTATTCGTAATCTTTTATTTGTAGAAAAAGATCATTGTAATTAATATAATGCTAAAAATCAAGTTTCTATATCTGCAGTAGGCAAAGCACAGCTATTACATTATGTGGTTTTACGCTTAACAACAACCAAACAAAATACGTGTAATTAATAACTTTTTACTTTATATATGTTTTGCGTTTCAAAATATTGGTAGTGTTGGTTGTTATAATATCATTTCTTTTACTAAACTTTCGTTTCATTCTTAAGAGTTTTGTAAAGAAACATTTACTTTACTGATTGATCATAAAAAGTCAAAAATAAAATATAATAACATAAAACTTAGTGTACACTATCGGTATATTGTAAAGAAATAAATTTAAATTATTTAATTTCCCTTGTGTCAGAAATTGGATGAACTGCACGATAAATACCTCTATGATTGAGTAATGCTGTGGTACTCTCAAGTTCACTGCTTTACCTTCATATAACTGGGTAGGAACTGCAGAATAACAGGAGGTTCGCCAAAAATGTATTACACAGCAAAAATCTAAGCCTTTATCAAAGAAAGCTACTGGAAATAATCTAAGATACAATAAAACAACCTTTATTCAATGCATAAACAATCAAAGGTAGACAAGTGTATGTTTTGGTATTATTGCTGGAGAACTCTATCGAATCTAAAAACCTATCTATAGATATTTTAAAAATATGTCTAAACAGTCATTCTCATTGTCATGTTGCAGACTAAGAAAACATGGCATTATATATATACAAAACAGTTAATGATGCCATTCTCCTCATAGTGCAGTTACTCTCATTACAATGTAGGGGAATAATGTATCTTTGGAGCATCACCAATACCATTAGTTGAAAAGATCACTGTCTATATCTATACAGTATTTGATATTACAGAAATTTCTCCACTGAGAAAGTGCTTATGACACCCTAGTTGAGTGACCTAGTTCAGTGGATAACTAGGATGAAAGGAACATAGTGGTTCTTGACTGTATTATATATTAAAACTACGTTCTTAAAAATTTTATATTAAATAAGGGAGTAAGAAGCATGTAGTATGCCTGCATAACACAATACATCTCAAATCCAGTTTTATGCTATTATTATTGTTTTGTTTTTCTGGTTGACCTTACACAATAACGGCTGTCTAACTGGGCATAAACTTAATTATTTAATGATGTAGAAAGCAAAAGCAAACTGTATGATACGGCTTGATTGGGTGATAATGCTTGTTACTTATAAGTGAAAAAAGTGAACATCACTAGGGAGGAGAAAAAGTAAATTCAGGCTTTTGTACAGGTAGAAGATAAGTGAAAGTACACTTTAGTAACTTTGCCACTTTAATTTCGCACCTAACAATTTATTGCTCAAAATAAACTTTCTCATGGACAAGAAAAAACATCCGAAGCTATAGACCAAAGACTATGTTAACTGAGTTAATACACCGATGGTATTTTTGTTTCCTTTTTTATGTTACTCTTATGTTATTAGGGATTCTGAAACCCACAAATGCATGATGTATATTTGATGGGAAACAAGAAAGTGTCAGTTATACTGTTTTAATATTCATAGTGGTAATGTATAGTTGCTAAAGTATTCTAGGAATCTAAATGCTATGATAACCAGACAAAGCCACTAGTGTATACTCACCTTATTTCTCTGTTTCGGTAAAATAACAGCTAGATCGAAAGCAATCCGTTGCATGGGTGAATAATTAAGTAATTGTCTCAGTTTCTTTCACTTTAATTAGTAATTCGTTTTCTTCATTTCCTTTACAAAATTCCGGACTTCTCAGATCATGGTTGAACTAACCATGTCTTCAGTCGGGTTGGGTTGTATAAATATCCTAGCATCCTTGTTAAAATTATTTCAAGCACCATGTTTTCTAATTTAACCACCTCTCTTGCTTCAAAATTATACCATTTTTCGTGTTTTCAAATTACACAAAATATCATGTTCTAAAATTACGTTACTCAAGTGTTTGCTAATTATGATGCGCTACATGACGTGTTCTCAATTACTCCCCCTATTTGAAAATTATAAGTTTACTTGACCTATCTATCAGCAAGAACTAAGAAAACATATAAAGATACACTAATTTCAGATCATCCACCAAATGTAGTATAGTTAAACATGCCCTAGTATATTGTGACATAGTCTTCACATTCAATTTGTTTAAGATGAAAGAAGCCTTCTATAAAAGAGTCTTTCGATTCATGAATTGAGGCCTGAGATCGAAACCGTTGAGTCAGCAGGCAGTTTATCTTACAGTATAAAAATTTAAAACTTGTATTTTTTTAGTCCATTTATACATTACGCTGCCAGGCATGTTCTCAAATTACTCACCCTGTTCGCAAGTTACTCAACTATCTGCCTACTTTGTCAGATTACATCACTTTTAATGTCATCTGATCACACTGCTCGCTCTTTCATCAAATTTCACTACTTACTGTACACTCAGGTTCTGCAACTTTCCTTAATTTTCACGTCATCCAAAGAATATAAAGATATTGCACAAAGATATTGAGCACGTTTGTTTCTGCTCTTCAACTAATGATAATTTGATATTTACTCTTCACATGTCTGTCATGATTCCGTCAATAATGTTTGATATGAAAGCTATTCTTTAAGAAAAGTCTTTTTTCCCGCAATCTTCATTTTGTGCTGCTATTTTCAAGTGATATTGAGGAATGAAAATTTCATCAGGAATCGTCACTACATTGGACTTTAATCATATGCTATTCAAGTTTTATTTTTAGGAATAAAATAACATTGTGGAACATACAGAAGTGATTAGAAATGCTAACAACTTACAAACAAAGAAGCTCATGTATAAGACATTAATCTATTGTGTATCAAATGTTTATTTTGTGCAATAAACGTAGTACCTGATCAAGTCAGAATTTGTTAACTTTTTATTATGTTTATTCCAATAACTTTTATTGTAATTTTTGACAATGTAATATATGATATTTTTCAAGAATTGTTAATGATTCATGAAAACCTGTTCTATTATCATCTTATTAAGAATGATTTTTTTTGTTAAATCAAAAAAATATTTTGCATAGCTCTTTCTTCTACAACTGCAGTTAAATTATCATAAAGAAATTCAACTATTTTAACGAAATATAGACTTTTATAATTATAACACAATTATAACATACGTGCATTGTTAACAAAGCAATATCATTAACTAATGAAAAAAATAATTATTCTGAAAATAATATTACGAGTCACAAAGCCTATTATTATAAGACACTGGATTTATTCTGTCTCATAAAGACAGCATTAGGAAACAATTTACAAAAAGGTATTGTACTTAGTACTCTTATCTAATTGCTACATTCACGGAAAACATCAAACTTTATCTTCTTTCATGAAACTAAAAAGAGAAAATGTACTGCCCATATTCTATCACAGCTTAATGGTAAGTTTAAGCCAATGGAAATTTATACTCTAAAATTTATGCAAAGTAATATCACTTTTTATCTTTAAATAATTTTGAATCGTTGATTCCCACTTTTTATTAGTGCAGGTCACCAACTGGAAAATTTCATAACATAATACAAGCCTCATCCAATATGTTAGCAGAAAGATTTAAATAAAGGTGTTTTTAAAAAATACATAAACATTTACTAATATCTAAAACGATATTTTACTAATATAAATTTAGCGGGAATTTGAATACCCCACGGGCACCAAGCATGATCTCACCTTCTTCAGTTCTGAGAAAGTACACGTATTTTCAGGACGACATGTCAAGGTACATAAAAATGTTAAGAGTCGTTGCTAAATACCTGTGAAATTATACAGGAGTAGATTAACTAATGCAAAGAGAGATGCAAATACATTTCCTCATTTTCTGTAAAGATGTTTGTTTCTATAGCCATAACTTTCTCCAATTCGTGTACCACAATATTGGCTCCTTCATGTGATTTAGCTTGGAAATCAATGATTCCACACCTTCCTGGCTTATATCAAAATAAAATAATCTGTATTAGCTAGATGCCCTACCAGGTCTAAAACCAACTGGCTATGTAGTGAAAGCTTACACCAATTAGCTGTGTTGTTTATTATAATGTACTCTCTATAAGAACTGACGTACAATGCTTTTGGTCAAGGCAATATTAGAACAACAGAAAATATATACTCTACAGAGGTTATTTTGGAGTCTTATAATGTTATTACAGCCCATGTCATCATGTTCGGTCATGTATAATGCTCTTTCTGACGACCATACATCTTAACAATAGCCTTGCATCGTAGTTTTATTACAAAAATTCCGTTGTAAGGTTTGCATGTCTAAAACTCACCACTCCTTCTTGCAACCTT